ATTTGTTTCATTATCTGCAGGGGGAGTCACTCAATTTGTGGTTTCGTCATTTGCCTTCTTCAATTATGAAGTCCAAAGAAATGTGTTTTGCCCGGAAAGTTTTACGGTAACCCATCAATATCAAAGATTCCACTTGCTTCTGAGATTCATTTTCTCTGTTGAATATAGATATTAACCTTGGTTCATGCCTATACTTTTAAGTTTTTGAGATAGTAGGTCAAGCAATAGATTCTTATACTTTCTTTGAGCTACGTTATATATATATATATATTGTATTATTATATATAGTGTCTATATCAAATTAAATTAAAACTGAGAGATTCTTTGTTTTTGGTCACAGATTGTACAGGATGGGTAACTATAAGCAATTTTTCTGTATTATAGCTTCTGAGGCATCATATTTACAGTCCTGCATTGTTGAATCATACATAAACGAGGTAATAACATCAGTTTTGGGTTCATCTAGTATTTGAAAGATTATTTCTTTTTTGATGTTAGATGTCCATGGTTCCATCTACCCCAAAATAGAGAGGGGTCTGACCGATAGGTCAGGTAAGCAACCCCAGATTATCTTAACTTAGCATTAGAGAAATGGGAGTCCAAATTTAATTGGGTAGGAAGTATGCTAGAGATGAGGGGCTCAGTTGTTTCTGTTGCTCTCTTACTTCTTCTAATGCCTTTTCCCTGTTTATTTTGATAATTTGATTTCAATTTGGAGATCAGTGCCAAATTGTTTTATGTTGATATTGTCACTGCTAGCTTAGAGGCATCTGCCAATGGTATAACTGAGTTATTTTCTTCATGGAAATGAATACCTAATGCTATTTCTTGTTTGTTTCCTTTTCTTTTGTTTTAAAGTTTCGGGTGCTGGCCATGTCATGTATAAACGGTGTTGGCTATAAACTTCATCCATATCCTCTCACACAGCTATCCAAGCTCTTAATGATGCATGTATGTTTGGAGTAGATGAAATGTATTTATATCTCCTGTGTTTACTATACTTGTGAGTTTTAGAAGCTTCATTTGATCTTGTCAGGAATCAGATGTGGAATCCTTTTGTGGTGCATGTGGTCTTGAGACATGCAATGATGATGCTGGAAACAAATTTTTACCCATGAAGCAAACAACTTTTCACCATCCAAAGGAAGTAGTTTCTATCCAAGCTNNNAGAATCTATCTTAAATGTATAAATCTATATTAGTCTCGTAGGTACAAGAATTCCTAGACAGCCAATTTGGCTCCTTTTTAAGATTTATCTCATTTGATTACGGTTAGATTATGGAAGTTAAAACCTGCGATCTAGCAAAATATGTGACAATGAAGTAACTAGTAGGGTTAAGATCATTATCTATCTTTTAGTATTTTCTTTGTGATTTCAGAGACTTGTAAAATTTTATACCTGCTCCAATAGAACTGTTGCATTTACGTAGTTCCGAGTTGTATGACTTTAATGTTGATTCCTTGTTCCAAGTAGTGTTAGCTCATTTTGTATTTCCTTTTTGTTTTAACCAATCTTCACTTTTTGTCTGGCTTGCTTTCAGAATTCAATGTCTCTGATGTAATCTAGGAATTAGATCAAGTTCAAGTTATAGCACAGCATACAGGATTCTTAAAAAGCAGAAGCAACTATTGAAGATAAAAATGACTTCAGTGGCTCAAATCAAGCATTTTCAATGAGTTATCATCAATTCTATCAGGTAGCTAGCTCTTCAGTCATTTCACTATGCCTTTTCTTTTTCCATCTTCTACATTTTAAATTCTGTGAGGCCTTCAATAGCATTAATTCAAGTTTAACTGAGGAACTTAAAAGATCACTGAGCATATTTAGTGATTTCCACCTTAATATATATATATATTTTAAAATAATAAGGTGATGCACCTTACTATTTTAATTATGACAAAATGACTAAATTATTCTTGAGAGAACAAAGAATAATGTGTAAATAAAGCACTGATCTGGTGATGCACGAGTAGAAGAGAAACTTTCCATCTTACCAAAGAAAGTAAGCATCTATTTGGATTCCTAAGCCTTCCCTACAGTAAAGAGAAATACCGGTAAACAAAATACTTATAAGTTTGGGATCAGTAATATCTACTGTAGCGAAAGAAGACCCAGTGCACTTCGAATTTTTAAAAAAACATCAAAGTGCATCCCCTATTAGTATCTGTGAATAAACTATCTGGCAAAATACGGCATTGTCATTCTTGTATAAAATTTTACCATAAGTAATAATAGTTATTGCACTAAGGTCCCCAAAGTTTCAGTGGCTGCAGTAACACCTGCAAAAGCAGTAGTAACTGCTGCTGCCCTAGATTATTATAATGCACTCAAATGTTGGTAACTTTTAACCCAACATTTTAACGGATGGTGTGATTGATATTTAGAAGATGCATATTATCTCAATTGGAAGCGTAAGTAGGTGTTGGTTCTTGATATTCCCACCTAGTATTATCATAGTTTAATTCTATATTCCTTAGATAATTTTTCTTTTTTAATCTGAAGTCTTCATATTTTGACCTTTACAGGTATAACAAACCAGTACTCAATTAAATTTTAATGAGAAATAATGTATGCTATGCATTTTTAATTGAGCCTAATGTTGCAAGGTTTGTTTACATGCCTTATCTTCGTTTAATTTTTGCTTGTAGAACTGTAATCGTGTTGCTCATAACTACATTCTTTAAATTTGCGCTGTACTACCCTTTTTGGCCTGCTTGAATGGCTCCTTGATTAAGAATACTCACGCAGATGTACACACACATTTATCTATTCATATCATTTTGTGCATTTTATTAGGATCAAAAGTTTAAAATTTTGCATTTGTATTTGCAGGGGAAAGTGCCGTTTGTCTTTGATGATATAATCTTTGAACTCGCAAGACTGTTGGATCATTTAATGCTTAACTGTATATAATGTTGGCTTGTAGCAGCTTTGTTCTCTGTATATTAGAAAGGCTAAGTAGAATCCACTCTTTTTAAAGGTGATGAATTGCTGTAAAATTCCCCTTGGATTGTACAGATTCTCGTGTAATTTGCATTAAGGTAACTTATGCCATTTCTGCCATTGACTTCATTAAATACAAGTCTCCAAATTTTTAGGGTGATGTCCTAAACAAGAGAATTACTCCTTGTGGAATTTCTTGGCACAAATTATTTTGCATACTCAGGGTTAAGTATGAGCAATATTATTTTATTCTGAATAATTTCTGAATAGAGGTGCAAGTTACAAATTCCATTGCAAATTCTATTTAACTTTATAAAATTTATAGTTGGAATATAGCAATTTAAATTAGAAATAATATGAATAAAAGATATAACTCAAGAGTTTATTCATTTGTTCTCAATGTTACGAAATAACTTATGTACTTCCAGCATACTCATAATCTGAGTGATTCTTTTCTTAAAACAAGTGTTAGTGATTCTAAACGGTGAGGGAACAAATCAAACATTAATTTGTTATTTTTTTTGTGTCATCAAATCACCTAAAAATTTTTATGCGAGACCATTTTTATTTCATGATATAGTTGCAAGAAAAATTTTCAATGCCCACAAGAACTTGGGAAAAGAAAGTCTTGAGCACTAACTTCTACACAGAGAAGCATGCATGTCTGCTTTTCTAGTTCTTCGCTATCAGTCAAAGGAAAACCAAGCAAGTCAGTTTCATGCCCAAAGCAGTGTAACAACCAGAAACAGCAGAAGAGCCAGTCCAAAACAGAATCCCACAACCACCATGAAAGCCTGCAATGGCCAAAATCAAAGCAGATGCTTGAGAATTGAGTCAAAAAAACACATGAAGATTTTGAAGTTTCTAGTGGAGCTTACTTTTCCCTGAGATTCAAATTTAAATTTGACAGTGAACCATGACAATCCTCTATCAACGACAGGTGCAAGCGCAAGGGCCCTGCAATAACAAGAAAAATAAAGCATCTTTTCAGAAATTTAAGTTGACTGCACATGATGGAAACATAACGCTCTTGGCATATGAGCAGCAACAAAGGTAACAAGCTTATACTTCGACAGTAACATTTAGCTCAATTGGTACTATCTCTTCACTTATGTCTTTGAAATTTTTATAGAAAATAAATTTAAAATTTTTTATTTCTTATTTTATTTACATTTAAAAAATATATATAGAATAGTTATCTTTATTTTATTTAAATTCTAATTATAGGATATAATTATACTATTACAATTCTAAATAATATAGTATTTTACTTAACATAAAATTTTTATCAATACTCTCCTCAAGTTGACGCAAAAATATCACACATGCCCAACTTGCAAATCAAATTCTGAAGAGATTTGTTACATAGTTCTTTAGTGAAAATGTCAGCCACTTGGTCGCCAGAAGATACATGATATAAACATAGAGAACCACCAACCACTTTCTCTTTTATAAAGTGTCGATCAATCTCAATGTGTTTTATTCTGTCATATTGAACTGAATTATAAACAATGTTAATTGTTGCTTTATTGTCACAAAACACAGAGTTTTTCATTTTTAAGTAGTTTTAACTCCCCCATTAGCTTTTGCAACTATAGTACTTCACATACTCTTTGAGACATTGCTCTATATTCTGCCTTAACACTGAAGCGAGCAATCACACTTTATTTTTTACTTTTCCATGTGACTAAGTTGCCTCCTACAAGTGTGCAGTAATCTGTAAGTGATCTTCTATCATCTAGAGAACCAGCCCAATCGGCATCTGTAAATGCTTATATTTTAAGGTGACCATACTTAAAAAAAAACAGACCTTTTTCTGGTACAGACTTTAAGTATTGTAATATGCGGAAAATAACATGTAAATGAGTGTCACGAGGATCATGCATGTAATGGCTCATAAGACTAACTGCATATGCTATATCGGGTCTGGTATGTGAGAGATAAATAAGTCTTCCAACTAATCTCTGGTATCTTCCCAAGTCAACTAATGTACCACTACTTGCTTGCAATTTGTGGTTGCTCTCAATAGGTGATTCTGCCGGCTTACAACCCATCATACCAGTCTCTTCTAATAAGTTTAGGATATAGTTCCTTTGAAAAATGAAGATTCCCTTATTGGATCTGCCAACTTCAATCCCCAAAAAATATCGCAATGTTTCTAAATCTTTTATTTCAAACTCTTGAGCAATAAGTTCCTTCAACTGAGTCATCTCCTTTGTATCATCTCCAGTCACCACAATATTATCCACATAAACAATGAGAAAAATGACTTTACCCTCACAATGTTTAATAAATAAGGTACGATCTGTATTACTTTGTTGATATCCAAAAGAGATTATAACTGTTCTAAACTGTTCAAACTATGCTCTTGAAGACTGCTTTAATCCATATAAAGCCTTGTTTAATTGACAAACTTTTCCTTGCATCCTCTCATCTTCAAATCCATGTGAAATTTTCATGTACACCTCTTTTTCTAAGTCTTCATGGAGGAATGCATTTTTTACATCAAACTGTTGTAAATTCCAATCAAGATTAGCTGTGCAAGACAAAAGTATCATAATTGTGTTCATCTTCGCAACAGGTGCAAATGTCTCCTGATAGTCAATCCCATAGATTTGAGTAAATCCTTTAGTCACTCATCTAGCTTTATACCTTTCGATCGATCCGTCTACTTTGTGTTTTACAGTGACCCATTTGCAACCATCTTTTTTCCCTGTAGATGTGAAACAAGTTCCCATGTTTCATTTTTTGTCAATGCTCTCATTTATTCAATCATGACTTTCTTCCACTTCGGATCTTTTAGAGCTTCTCTCCAATCCTGTAGAATAAACACAGAGAAAACAGACAAGACAAATGCTCTATAGGAGAGAGATATAGAGTCATAGGAAACAAAGTTAGATATAGGGTGCTTAGTACAAGTTCTCGTTCCCTTTCTAATAACAATAAGTTTATCTGATAAATCATAAGAGAAAGATAACTTACCAGTATCTTCTAAAACCAAAGAAGATTTTTGACCTGGGACATACTGCATAATGACTTTTTCAGACTTCTCTCTCATTGAATACATTTTCAAGTCTAATTTATCTAGATGTCTAACATTATTTTCTGTAATAGAATTCTCCCCCTGAATATAATTATCAATCTTACCCAATTAGGTATCACTTCTTCTTTCTCACTCTCCCCCTGAAGAGGTGTTGAGTTTGAGTTGAAGTAAGACTCATTCTCCCTAAAGATAACATCCATAGTTATAAAGTATTTTCTAAATGATGGATAATAACACTTATAACCTTTTTGGGTAGAAGAATATCCAACAAATACACACTTAAGAACTCTAGATTATAGTGTACCCACATTTATAGCATGAACAAAGTACACACATCCAAACATTTTTGAGGGAACAATGTAGGAATTTTTTCCTTACAAAACCTCCATAAGACTTTTAAAATTCAGGATCCGCAAAGACATTCTATTGATAAAATACACAACTGAGAGAACTGCATCTCCCTAGTAACTCTTTGGTAGATTCATGGTGAATATTAATGACCGATCTACCTATAGTATGTGTCTATTTTTTCTTTCAGCAATCCCATTTTGTTCATTGGTGTAGGCACAACTTGTTTGATGAATTATTTCATTTGACTCCAAGTAGGCACGGAACCTACTATCCATATATTCTGTACCATTGTCAGTTCACAGAATCTTAATTTTAGTACAAAACTGTGTACATATCATTTTGTGAAAAGATTGAAAATATGAAAATACATCACTTTTTGCTTTTAACAGATAAATCCATATTAATATAGTACAACAGTCAATAAAGATAACAAACCATCAATGAGCAAAAAGAGAGGTATTCTGAGTAGTTTCCCACACGTCAGAGTGAATAGTCTTAAAAGGATCAATACTTCTATTATTACTTAAATGATAAGAGCTCCTCTTATGTTTAGCAAGTTCGCATGCATCACAAAATAAAGACTTCATAGAGGTTCTTTTGAATAACGACCCCGAAAATTTAAAGAAAATGTATGTGAATTGATAACTGGATAATGTCGACAGCCTAACTAGATATCCTGAGAGATGGTGGACGGACCGGGTCCGTAGGGAACCCTACCGGGAACGTGATCTCTCATACCGGACGGGGTATGGAAACTTTATGATTTGGCGCCCATACTGGACGGGGTATGGGGACGGCTCGTTTCACCCTCATACCGGACAGGATATTGAAGTTCATGGTTTTTAGACGCCCATACCGGACGGGGTATGGGGACAGTCCTGCAATTAAGTTATTAATGTTAATGGTTCACGTGTAGCGGGGACCCCCTATGGATCCCCATGGATACTAGTAGGCTGGTAAAAGAGGAAATTTGTTGTCTGATTATTAAAGTACAAAAGTATAACATGTGTTACGTTACAAAGTGTATATGATTTTATGATGGTTATAATGTTATTGTTTTCATATGTTATTTTCACGAAACTCACTGAGGTAAGTGGACAGTAAAGGTTTTTATTATTAATAAATGAGTTTGTTATAAATTATGCTCAATTGGTCGTTTTTTGTTTTCTACCAACCTTTACTTCTGTGACTGTGAGATAGTGTGATATTTTTACTGGGCTAGTGTAACTCAATTCCTTATTTAACCATTTCACATCAGGAGGATTTAGTTCCCGAGCCCGTCCCGCAGGAAGACGGCGAGTAGACGCCTAAGGATTTCATAATTTTATTTATAGCATTCATTACTAGTATTTACCTTAGTTGGTTTATTTTTTCACACGTTGAAGACGTTTTTGGTTATTGTGTAAGAGATGTTAATCAGAATTTTTATTTCGCTTTCGCACTTAGAACTTTTTAATACATACATTTTCTTTAAATTTCCGGGGTCGTTACAGTTGGTATCAGAGCCGCGTTCTTTGGACTCATCCCTTACACAATAATGCTTAGAGAAATACCCACCGATAAATCATTACTCAACTCTTCCTTGTGAAATGTAGGGTCCAAGGAATTGAGGAGAGGAAGACCCCTACTAAATCGAGCAGCCGGAGATGATTCGCTTCGGGAAGATGTGGACAGAATATTTGAGATGCTGGAAAGGATCATGGCCGCCCAGCAAGGTCGAGAGGAGAGAAGGGAGTTACCCGAACCTCCCCCACTACCACAGGTTGAGCCACCACTACAGCAAGCGGATCCCGAGCCACCCTGGCACGAGCCTGCTCCACCACAGTACCACCCGGCACCACCGCCGCAGTATGAACCGGTGCCCCAGCCACCGTACTGCCCGGCACCACCACAGTACAATCCGGTGCTCCCACCATATCAGCAGGTGGCACCACAGGGCCCCCCAGTCTATCCCCAGCCGGACCCAGTCCCTCTTCCACGGGACCCAGCTCATTCCTTGATCGACCCAGACTACATAGAGAGGTACAGGAAATTGAACTCTTCCACTTTTGCAGGGGGATCATCTTTCGAAGATGCCCAGTACTGGTTGGCGGAGACTAAGAGAGCTTTCAAGACCTTGGGAGTGGTTCCCGGGTAGAGAGCTGCCCTTGCTTCCTACATGTTGGTAGGGGAAGCAGGTCGTTGGTGGGAGCTCAAGCAGACCACCCTGCCTACACCAGCCACTTGGGAGCAGTTCTTAGCGGCCTTCCATGCGGAGTATCTCCCTGAGCACATCCGACACCTGAAGGAGATGGAGTTTGTTCAGTTGGTCTAGGGAAACATGACGGTATCGGAATATGCTTGTAAGTTCCTAGAGCTGGGCCGATACTCTCCGGAGACATTGATGGATGAGGGTAGGAAGGCCAGAAGATTCCAGTGGGGCCTCCGCCTAGAGATCAAGCAACACTTATTGGTACTGGAGCTCAAGACATACTCAGCAGTTCTAACAAAGCCGCAAATTGTGGAGAGGAGTTTCAACACCCATCCTCAGTCAGCAGGGAGTCACCAACCCTCAGCTCCACCCCGCAGACCAGCACCTACTGCGCCGGTCCAACCAAATAAGAGGCCTAGACCAGTGATCTAGGCCCCTCCTCAGGCTCCAGGGGTAGCACGTGGAAAGATTTGCCAGCACTGTGGCAGGGATCACGGGGACCGACCATGCTACCGCCTCAACAACACCTGTCGCATATGTGGTAGTGGTCAGCACTATGCGAGAGAGTGTCCGAAAAACCAGAACCAAGGAAGACCTCCTTTTCAGGGCAAGGTTTACAACCTCACCTACCAGGATGCCGACGCCGACCCGGACGTGGTACATGGTATGTACACTATCTGTGACCATATTGCTCATGTTTTATTTGACACTGGTGCATCGCATTTATTTGTTTCACATGTTTTTGCATCCAAACTTAATGTATCACCTAATAAACTTGATTCAATGTTGTTTATATCTCCTGCAGGGGGTGAAACACTATTAGGGAAAGTTGTCTACAGGGTTTGTGCCATGGAGATAGCAAATAGGAAACTAAGTGTAGACCTGATAGGTTTAGACACGGGGGATTTTGATGTAATCTTATAAATGGATTGGCTAACAGCATATCACGCCACCATAGATTACTTTAACAAGAAAATTGTATTTAATCCTCCCAATGATGAGCCATTTACAAATTAATAAAATAATTTAGTATTTATTCCTTGATGGCAAGTTTCCTTAATTTTCTAGTACTTTAATCTTGCTATTTTCTCTAACTAGGCAAGCCCAAGAAGGAAATTTGTATCCAAGAGATTCTGGTAGTCCGAGACTTTCCAGATGTGTTTCCGGACGAACTACCCGGACTGCCAGTGGACAGGGAAGTCGAGTTCACTATAAACCTACAGCCAGACACCCAGCCCATTTCGGTTGCTCCTTACCGCATGAGCCGCATTGAGATGGAAAAGCTGAGGAAACAGATCACTGAATTGCAAGACAGTAGTTTTATTAGACATAGTGTGTCCCCCTGGAGTGCCGGAGTCACTTTTACAAGGAAGAGAGATGGAACATTGAGATTGCGTATTGATTACAGAGGATTGAATAAGGTTACAATCAAGAACAAATATCCCCTTCCCAGAATTGATGACCTCTTCGATCAGTTGCAGGGTGCGCAGGTCTTCTCCAAAATAGACCTGCGATCAGGTTACCATCAGGTGAAGATAAGAACAGAAGACATCCCCCAGACGACCTTTCGAACCAGGTACGGACACTATGAGTTCCTGGTCATGCCATTTGGGCTAACCAACGCCCCGACAATCTTTATGGATATGATGAACAAGGTCTTCAGAGAGTTCTTGGATCAATTTGATATCGTGTTCATCGATGACATCTTAGTCTACTCAAAAAGCAGAGAATAACATGCTCACCATCTTGCCCAAGTCTTGCAGGTCCTCCGAAAAAAGAAGTTATATGCAAAGTTGAGTAAGTGAGGATTCTGACTTGAGCAGACCGCCTTCCTAAGACACATCATATCGAAGGAAGGAGTATTAGTGAATCCCGAAAAGGTTGAAGCGGTACTTGGCTGGGAGAAGTTGACATCAGTTAAGAAAATCCGGAGCTTCCTGGAGATGACAGGTTATTACCACAGGTTCGTTGAAGGATTCTCCAGCCTAGTAGCTCCTTTAACCCAACTCACTAAGAAGAATGTCAAGTTTGAGTAGAATGAGGACTGCAAAAGAAGTTTTTCAGAATTAAAGAAACGGCTGACTACTGCACCCGTGCTGTCTTTACCGAGTGGATCGGGGAGATATACAGTTTATAGTGATGCCTCCTATCTAGGCCTGGGTTGTGTCCTGTGTGTCCTGATGCAGCATGAGAAGGTCATAGTATATGGGTCCAGACAGTTAAAGAATAATGA